GTACTCACCATGCGCCAGGCACTATTAAGGCATTGTAGATTTAGTGAGGAGGTGGAGGTGGGGGTGAACACCATCAAAATCTCTGTTCTCAGAGAACTTGATTCTCATGGACCTAAAAATTGAAATGCTCTTTGATTTAGTAATGCAGATTCAGTAAGCATCCAAATTAACCAAATACCTGATTGACAGTCTTATTTGGGCAGCAGACACTGAGGAATAAATTCCAGGGATTTTGTCGACCATAATAAAGTGGTTTCTAAGTACTTTTCTTGCCTATATTATGTAATTTGATAAGAAGAGATAGGAAAGGGGAAGGATGTTGCAGCAGTTAACACTGAGGTTCTGGTACAAGCTCAGGACCTAAAGAGTAGGCAGAAGTAACACTGATATATTAGGTAGCCAAGTAATTGTCAACAACCGCCTATTCTTACATCATTTTATTTTTTTTTAACCGTAGAAAACCCACTTTGATCCTTTGTTGCCAATGAAGAAGAAATGGCATTAGTTTCATTTTTTGGAGTCACCTCCAATTGAATCACCTCCAGTTTGGGCTTCATTCACTTTTAATGGTTTGAAATTGCCAGTCTCCCAGATTGAATATTTCAAGCCATGGCCAGTGCTAGCTGGTGTAAGGTTTATGTATAGTACTTAACTTTCGGCTCAAATACAGTTGTCCCTCTGTATCCACAGGCGATTGGTTCCACGACCCCTGCCTCCCAGCAGGATACCAAAATCTAAGGAAGCTCAAGTCCATTATATAAAATGGCATAGTATTTGTACATAACCTACCCACATCCTCCCATATACTTTGAATCATCCTAGATTACTTACAATTCCTAATACAATGTAAATGCTATGTACATAGTGTTATACTGTATTGTTTAGGGAATAATGATGAGAAAAAAATCTGTACACGTTTAGTACAGACACAACCATTGTAGGCCTAACTACATAGTACACGTCCGACGTGAGGCAAACAATGTTCAAACGATGAGTTCTGGAGAGAGACTGAGGATCTCTGAAATGGCGGGAGGCTACAGCAGGGTATGCCTACCCATCACTTTTTTTTCCCAAATATTTTCAATCCATGATTGGTTGAATCCACAGACGCAGAACCCTTGGATACAGAAGGCCGACTAGTTCTACATTGCTGGGGAAAATTTGACCACAGTCTTCGTTCATAGAATATTTAGAAGGTAACTCAGGGAAATATTTAATTTCCAAGTGTGTAAGACTTTTCCAAGCATAAAAGCAAAGGAGGAAGGCATAAAGGAAATAATTGATAGCCCTGACTACATAAAATATATTTTAGAGAATTATTTAATGATGCAGGAAAGTGTTCGTGACATGGTGCTGTATCAAAAAAGCAGCTTGAACATTATAATCTCAATTTTGTAAAATCTATAAAAGAAATACATTAAGTGCTAAAAGAGATAGGAGTATGAGTGTTTTTGTTTTCT